GTTAGTTCCAACTCACAACCACCCTGTATAGGGTTTCCAAGGAGCAGCTAGTGAGCTTGAACCGCTGACCTTGCAGTCCAGCACATTACTCTCAGAGCCACACCAAGGTAGAAGGCACTATAACAACCAAATGCTCACAAGGAGTTCTCGTGTGGCACTGTGGGTTAATGCATTGGACTGCAAGGTCAGTTTGAACCACAAGGTTGGTGGTTCAAGCTTACCAGCCTCTCCCTGGCAGCCCTGGGTTGGAACTGGCCCAATAGAAATTAACAACAATCTATACACAATGTATCAGTTAAATAAACATTTTTCCTGGAAGATAAGAAGCATTAGGGTTGATATCTGTAGGAAGCTCAGTGAATGTTACTGTATGCTGATGGGTACTGAAACAATTTAAAAAATGTATTTCTTATATCAAAGAAATGGGGTGCAAGAGGCTGCCCCAAATCCAAGGGCTGATCTGATTTTTAAAATTCCTCTTATTTTCCCTTGAGCATACAGTAATCCATCTTTTAGTAACATCACCATTTCATTCTCTTTTATTGCCATATAATTTAGAGACAAGACTTGTCATCTATCTATAAATGTGTTAAATTCTATGAGTTTTAACAATATGAGGGGATTTTAAAAAGTTGATGGAAAAACTCCATTGTTTTTTCATTCCATGTTTCCTCGAACATACTGAAGTCCCCTCATTTTATAGAACTGTGTAATAATGACACTGAACATTTCTATCACCTCCAAAAGGTCCCTTGTGCCACTAGTGAGTCAGCCCCCCACCCCACTCCCAAGCTGATTCCTGTCCCTAGATCTTCCATTTCCAGAATCAAATGTAGAGGGTCTAAAGTGTGTAACTGTTTGTGTCTGGTTTCTTTTACACTTAGCATAGAAGTTTTGTGATTCACTGTCTTGCCACAGTTTGAGTGCTTCACTGTTTTACTCCTGAGTGGGATCCCACTGTGTGGATACAGCATGTTTATCTATCTGTTCATCAGCTGAGGAATATGAGTTGTTCCCACTTTTTTATGATCATGAATTAAGTTGCAATAAACATTTGCATATGCTCTTTGCAAGGTCATATGTTTATTGCACAACTGTTTTCCAAGTGACTGTAATTTTGCCTTTCCGCCAGTGGTATATGGAATCCTTTTTGAAATGTAAATGCCGGATTTTAAATGAGTCAAGTACACTTGTATTTTAAGAGTGCAAAAACAAAACAGTAATTATTCAAAGCCAACTCCAGCATGAAGATTAATGTTGAGTAACACTCTACAGAATACTACGTATCTCGTATGGTCGGTTTATTTTCAATTGCTATCACATACACTTCACACCAACCACATGAAAGGTACGTGAAATGCCATTCTGCAATGAAACAGATGAGAGATGGGGGGCGGCAAGGGGAAAAGATCGGGGAGTCAAACTGATCAGGGCTGTAAATCCCCCACATTTCACAAACTATTTTAGTTTTTGAAAAGACAAGCCTTGGTTGTTGTTGGTGGTGGTTATGTGCCGTGGAGTCGGTTCCGACTCATAGCGACCCTGTACAGGGTTTCCGAGGCTGTAAATCTTTACAGGAGCAGAAAGCCTCATCTTTCTCCCGCGGAACAGCTGCTAGTTTCGAACTGCTGACCTTGCAGCTCGCAGCCCGATTCGTAACCACTACGCTACTAGAGCTTCTTAAACCTTGGATAGCCTCATCAATAAAACGAGGCGGCGAGATTACTCCCTATGGGGTAGTGCTAGCATAAGGAGCCCAGGTAGATTAGTGGATTACGAACCCGGCTGCTAGAACTACAAGGGCAGCAGTTGGAATGTACTCCGCGGAATAAAGATGAGACTCTCTGCTGTAGTAACGATTTACAGCCTCGGCAACCCTCTACAGGTTCGCCGTGAGGCAGAACCGACTCCACGGCACACCGCCACGAGTGTAATCACAAGGCTCAGCCATACTTCCACTGGGATCGAGCACTGACGACATCACGACATAAGGGGTGAGCTTCAGAATTTAACAGAGTGAAACCTGTTTGGTTCCAAAGCCAATAATTTTATGTGGTCTTCCCAAAGCTGTTTTTGTTTCTACTGAGTTACCCTATTTCTCTCAGCAGAACCTTACTTCCGCCTGCCACCCTGTAAACTTCCAGCCTTAGCGTTCCTAGAGCCTCAGATTCCATCAAGTCAGACGCTTGACTTCCCAAGGGCCCGAGGCATCCTACTCACCATGGTGACGGCAGCAAAGCCACCGGGTACAGCCTCCGGGGTGCGAAAAACTACTCAGTTTCTGGGTCCCTGAGACCCACGAGCCAAAAGGAGTCAGCCCGTGACAGGAAAAGGTCACCTTCCAAAACGGCCGAGTCAAGGCAAGCGCGACACATTCGTTCCGAGCCTCTGTTTCCAGCTTTTAGCTAGAGGAGCGGAAGTTGCTGGAAGGCGAGTTTAGTAGTGTACACCACCGGAACTGAAGACTTGCGCCGACTATTGAGGACCGCGTAAAATAACAAAAGTTCCTTTGGTCGATTGCGGCACTGCAGCAACGCGCGAGGCATTGTAGACACTGACGCGACCCCCATTTCTGTCTCCCAGGAGCCCGGCGAGGGAAAGCACGACCCAGTGCCAGGTGGGTACCCGGGCGCGCCGTGCGTCTCTCGCGTGTTTGGAGACTCTGTGCCGCTCTGGGCACCCTACCCCGAGGCTGCAACCGCGAGAACTGCACAGGCTCTGGGACCTGCGCCCTTCAATGTCAGAGCAAATTGTGGACTTGTCTCTCCAGCGCGGATAAACCGATTTCCGTTGTGGTTTCTGTGCGAGGTGTGCACGATTGAGAAAGACGCAGAGGAGTGAAACTTTATGGTACAGGAGAAAAGCTAGCGGGCCTTAGCAGGTCAGAAAAGAAAACGACAGGTTTCTGTTGTCTCAAAGGTTGAGGACTCATTTCAGAAAATGGAGCTGAGCCCTTCATGCATGTTTTCTTTGCTAGCAAGCCCAATGTTAGCTCTGTCAGTAGAGGTGACTAGAGAGACATCCCTCCAGAGGTGGTACAGAACATGCTGCTGCTCTAGCACTCAGCTCCCATAATGCACAAAGGCCAGCAGCTCTCCTAGCACATTTTGTAACATGCCTCTCAGAGGACACCTTCCCATGAATGACTTCCCCAGCACTCAGAGAGTGGATTTCCAGCAAATTCCACCTTCATAGCACCGCTTCTCTGCCATCCACTAAGCCATAGCTGTGCCCTCTCTTATAACATCTAGCCCTCAGACTTCGTGAGGGAGGACTTTTATATGGGTGCTCTTTCTCTGTCCTGGACTCCTGGTGTGGCACTATAGGATTGGCACTGGACTGCAAACCACAAGATTGGCAGTTCAAACCCACCATCTGCTCCTTGGAAACCCTATATAAGGTCGCTTTGAGTTGGAACCAACTAGACAGCACTTAACACAGGCTAATGATCATGAGCATTTCTACGTGTTTGTTGGCTACTTGAATGTCGTCTTTGGTGAAGTGTCTGCGTCCTCCACTTTTTAAATTGGATTCTTTTTCTTGTTGAGTGACGTTTCTATAAATTTGAGAGATTAGTCCCTTATCTGATATGCCAATACTAAAATATCCCCCCAGTTTGTGAGTTTTTAGTCTTTTTATGAAATCTTTGATGCCCATTGTTGTTAAGTGCCATTGAGTCGGATCCAACCCATAGTGACCCTATACAGGGTTTCTGAGGAGTGACTGGTGAGCTTGAACTGCCAGCCTTGCAGTTCAAACGGCTTTGCAATCTGGTGCATTAACCCCCAGCGCCACACCAGGACTTGTTGATGCCCATAAGTGTCTAATATTTAGGAGGTCCCAGTCATCTAGTTTGTCTTTGCTGTTTGTGTCTTTTCATTTATATTTGATAAAAATGTTTTTATGCCATGGAGTAGCTGGTGAGCTTGAACAGCCAACCTTGCAGTTCAAACGGCTTTGCAGTCTGCCACATTAACCCATAGTGTCACACCAGGACTCCATAGGCTTTATTAATGAATATTTTGTAAACTTAGTTTTCTATTTTACGTATTTTCACAGAGAACAGCCATTTTCAGGATCAAGATGTTGTTCAACTGGAGGATACTTGCAGCGAGCCATCAGAAAATGTCCTATGTAAGGATTTGTTAAAATGATAATAAATGTACTTTAACAACATCAGTTCCCTTCCAAAAAAGCCTACTATATATCACATTAACATTGATTCTAAACTTATTGCTGGGTGTTGTTGAGTCAGCTCCAACTAATGATGTGACCCTATGTACAACCTAATGAAACAACGCCCAGGCCTGCACCATCCCCACCATTATTGTTATGTCTGAGCCCATTGCTGCAGCCAGTGTCAGTCTGTGTCACTGGGGGTCTTTCTCTTTTTCCCCCTCCCACCCCCACCCCCAGTTTACCAAGCATGGTGTCCTCCAGGGACTGCTCCTTCTGACATCCTGTCTAGCTATCTTCATTCTAAGTAGCATTCCAGCTTACAAGATTGAGCTGGTCATATTTCTGGCAGTTCATACTATATTCAGTACTTCTTGACAAAACAGTAATTCAAATGGAGTCCTGGTGTGGCACTGCAGGATAAGCACTCGACTGCTTATTGCAAGGTCAGTGGTTCAAATCCACCAGCTGCTCTTTGGACAACTATACAGGGTTGGTATGAGTTGGAACTGACTTGAGAGCACTTAACATAGTTCAAATGGATCCATTCTTTTCTGGGCTTTATTCGTTGTTCAGCTTTTGCAAGTGGATTGAAAATGCCATGATTTGTTTCAGGCACACTTGAGCCTTTGACGTGACATCTTTTTTTTAACACTTTAAAGAGATCTCTTTTTTAGCATATTTGCTCAGTGCAATCCGGTGTTTGATTTCCTGATTGCTGCTTCCCTAGGGTGTGCATTGTGGCTCCAAGTAAAACTGAAATCCTTGACCACTTCAGACTTTTCTCCATTTATCATGATGGTGCTTGTTGTCTAGTTGTGAGGAGTTTTGCTTTCCTTAGGTTGAAGTATAATCCATACTGAGGGCTGTAGTGTTTTGATTTTCATCAAGAAATGTTTCAAGTCCTACTTGTTCTTAGCAAGCAAGGTTGTGTCATGTGCATGAGTCTTCCTTCATTCTGGTGACATGTTCTTCTTCATATAGTCCAGCTTCTTGGAATATTTGTTTAGCCTACAAACTGAACAAGTATGGTCAGAGGATATAACTTTGATGTATACCTTTCCTGATTTTAAACTTTGCACAACTCCCTCCTGGTCTATGTACAGGATCCACATGAGCATAATTCAGTGCTCTGGAATTTCCATTCTTCACACCATTATCCATAATTTGTATGATCCACATAGTTGATTGCCTTCGTAAATTCATTAAAATACAGGTAAATATCTTTCTGGTATTCTTTACTCTCAGCCAAGATCCATCTGACTTAAGCCGTGATATCCTTAATTCTATGTCCTTTTCTGAAACTGGCTTGAAGTTCTGATCTATAGTTCCCCGCTGATGTACTGCTGTAAGTGTATTTAAATGACCTTCAGCACAATTTTACTTGCAGATGATATTAATAGTATTGTTTTTGTTGAGTGCTGTTGAGTTGGTTCTGACTCAACAAGAGTGGCTTATGGGCTTATGGGCTTGAACCACCAACCTTGCAGTTAGCAGTCCAGTGCTTATCTTACAGTTTCGCACCAGGACAATAAGAGTAGTTCTGATACCCACTTTTCTTCCTTTCCTGTCTTTATGTATGATGTCCTTGATATCGTCCCATACCTCATCTGACCTTTGGTAATGAATGTTCAGTATGTAAAATTTGTTTTTGAGATGGTCTCTAAATTAAGGTGGGATATGCTCAAAGCTGTTCTTGCAGACTTGTTTTAATTTTCTTTAGTTTCAAATTGAACTAGATATAAGCAACTGATGGTCTGTTCCATAGTCAGCCTTGGATTTGTTCGGACTGATGATATTGAGCTTCCCTATCATATCTTTCCATGTTGTTAAGTGTCATTGGATTGATTGTAACCCATAGCGTCCCTGTACAGGGTTTCCAAGAAGCTGCTGGTGGGTTTGAACCGCTGACCTTGTGGTTTGCAGTCCAGTGCTTATCCTACAGCGCCACATCAGAAGATAGATGTAGCCGTTTGATTCCTGTGCAGTCCATCTGGCGAGGTTCATGCGTATTGTTGTTAAGTGCCGTTGAGTTGATCTCCACGCATTGAAACCCTGTGTAGGATTGCTGAGGCTGTAAATGTTTGCAGAAACAAAGTCTTTCGGTTAGTAGTTCAGTGTTTATCCTACAGTGCCACACCAGGACTCCCTACAGATTGTTGCTGTTTACTTTGTGTGTGTGTGTGTGTGTGTGTGTGTGTGTGTGTGTGTGGTAGGGGTAGATTGAAGGTACTGCCAATGAATAGGTAGTGTTGATCTTGCAAACTTCTATCTTGTGATCTCCCGTGTCATTTCTTTGCCCAAGGCCTCATTTTCCGACTGCAAATCCTTCTTTATATCCAACTTTTATATTCTAATCACCTGTAAAGATCAATCCCTCTTGATTGCATGTTTGATCAATTTCAGACTGCAAAAGTGGTAAAAATGTTCAATCTCTTTATCTTTGGCTATAGTGGTAGTGCATTAATTTGAATAATAATCATTTTATCTGGTCTTCGTATAGTCATATGGGTAACTAAGCACTGTGATACTTCAGGGACTTGGTCTCTAAGCTCTGGGATGACTCCTGAATCCCCTTCAGAACATTATAAATTATTAACTCTCATATCTTCAGTATACTTTAGAAATATTAGTTCTCGTGTAAAACCATGCTTTTCATTTTTATCTATAGCTGTTTGAGAGAGAGATCAAAGTCTTTGTGTGGCCGCCTCGTTTTCTTGAGCAATTTCCCGTCATGAGGAAGTATGTGTTATCATTAGTTTATAAACTCATTCTTCATACTTAAAATTGCCTGTGCAGCATCTTAAACAATCTTTCTCTGCTCCATTTGTGATGATAAATGACCCGAAGTGTTACTCAGATTTTTCAGTGTTTTTATTGCTAGCCCTTTTAGACTATACACCTTTTGACGATGGGGTCTTTGTACCCCGGTCATTATGTATAGAAAATTATATTGTCCTGAGTCTCTTCTTTTGAATTGTTTTTTTTAGGATGGTATTGTCTATCATTACTAGAAACTTGGTAACCAATATATAAATAATACGGAGTACATAGTTATGCATTCCATAGTGGTAGCCCCAAATCTTTACATACATGAACTGTAGCAATTGCAAATATACTGTTGTTGTTAGGTGTGGTCGAGTTGGTTCTGACCCTGTGCATAGCAGAACGAAACACTGCCTGGCCCGCACCATCCTCACAATCGTTACGCTCCAGCCCATTGCTGCTGCCACTGTGTCAATCCATTTCCCTGGGGATCTTCCTCTTGTTCGCTGACTCTCTTCTTTGCCAACCATGCAAATATACTGGAAGTCATTAATGTGTATCTAGTGATCTAGGGATAAATTGGAATGGAGAACATTCAGCATTTACTTGGGAACATTGAGCAAGGATAAGGGAAGCAGCAGGGGTGATGGATAGATTAGGTGATGGATAGCAGGCCTACTTGACTGATTCTTTCTTGTAGTGCTACACTGGACTCACCTGGGAACTTGAATAAATTCCATCTCCCTGGGCTTTACAGAGTAGTCAAGTGATTTTAATACGTGGTTACTGTTGTAAATCCTGAAAGCTGGTAGTGATTTTAGAGCTAGTGAACCTTACCAGCCTTTTGCAGCTATTGAGGAGAACCAAGAAATATCAAGGGTGGCACACCTTACTTAACTTTGTGATTCTCTTACTTAAACATTAGGATCTTAGTTCTCAAACTGTAGCCATCTGACTCATTTTATGATGGGGTAGTTAAAATATCAATTACTATGCCCCCTCACAATGGTCTCTAATTCAGTAGCTGGAGTTTGTGGTTTTTGTTGTTGTTAAGTGCCATTGAGTTGGTAACTACTCATGTACACAATACAAGGAAACATTGCCTGCTCCTGCTTCA